TGTCTTGTTGTTGTTATACAAGCATCAAGTTTCGAGCTTTGCATGACATTCATGCTTGGGAAGGCCAGATCTTTGATTTAGGGAAACAAATCTGACCTCAGGAGGCCAGTAGAGTTTGTGCAGGCATGAACTCGCCGAGTTGTTCCTGAGACTCGGCGAGTAGGGTTAGGGTTTCACGTAAATTGCTCAGTGAGTAGACTTGCTGAGTTGGGGGATGACTCAGTGAGTCAGAAGGGAGTTAGAGGACTGGAGTTCAAGGCAGTACTCGCCGAGTTGTTCTTGAGACTCGGCGAGTTGAGTCGTGGTGGCCCCGCGGTTCATGCCTAGTATGACTTGTCAAGCATAGGGAGGGACTCGGTGTGCCAAGCAGGACAAAGTGTTAAAGAACATGTGTGAACTCGCCGAGTCACCAGGGTGCACTCGGCGAGTAGGGTCAAAGGGTGACCGTTGACTTTTAGGGTTTGGTCAATGGAGTACTTGTGTCGAGAGGGGGGTAAAATAGCCTTTTTCCCTACCGAGGGTGCCAATGGCAGGTTGAGTCTAGTCTCGAGAGTTATATTTATAAGAGTATTTAATTTATGTGAATAGGCGAATACTAGGTAATATTTCTACCGAGTCAGAGATTTACCGAGATGGCTGAGGTGAGTCTTCTCACTATACTTTACCTAGTGTGGTAACAGAGTTATGTGATAGAGTATTTTAGAGTTATATGCCAGTGTTATTGCATGTTATTTATGTGCTATGATTTATTGTGATATGTGCCTTGTATGATTCAGAGTTAGGACCTTTTGGTCCATAGAGTTAGGATCTTCGGGTCCACAGAGCTAGGGAAAGAGGGCCCATAGAGAGTTGGGGCTGGAGGGCCCTACTGAGACACATAGACCTGAGGGTCAACAGAGTTACAGCCTCGAGTGGCTATTATGTGTTAGAGTGGTATTTTGGGGAACTCACTAAGCATTTATGCTTACAGTGTTATGTGTTTCAGGTACCAGTGATGATCGCGGGAAGGCGCCGACATGATTCGTACACACGCATATCGGAGTTTATATATATTTTGATCTTGGGTTTTGTATTGATACAATGTTGATACAACATTTTGTTTATGATTTCAAATGATATTTTATGGGTTACAAAAATGAAAAAATTGTTCAAATTTTTACGGTGTTACCATAATCATAACATATAACAATAACACATATACTTCATACTACATCAGACCACAACCCGAAACACATAACACATAGATATGCCTGAATCACAAAGACATCAAGCATACTGAACTACTATTATCTAAACGGGCCTACATTGTGGCCGTAGACCCATTCCTACTGGAAGAAGACTCATCTCGTAAGGCTGACTGCTGAAATGCTGATCGAGAACTGTCTGACTGCTGCTCAGGTAACTTCCCGGCTACAATTACCATAAAGACACTTAATCAAACACTGATAACTAATCTTAGGGTAAAATGACCATTTTACCCCTGCTCAAAGTCAACTTCCAGTTGACCTGACTCGCCGAGTTGGGCTGCCAAATCGTCGAGTCCCTTTCCTTTCTTTTATCCTTCTATTTAACTCTACTCGTCGAGTTTAGTAAAGACTCGACGAGTTCACCTTCTATAATGACATCTATTCAACCTTCATCTGACTCGCCGAGTTGTATGAACAACTTGTCGAGTCCTCCTTCATCATATGAACACGTCCAGACTATGACTCGCCGAGTTGTATGAACAACTCGTCGAGTCTATTCTTGTGGGTAAGGAGATTGCCTTGGACTCACCGAGTATGTTCTAACACTCGTCGAGTCCCATGGTTTCCAGATCATGGCTATGTCTCAATATGTCGAATCACTCCTCTGGACTCGTCTAAATGCTTGCTATCACTCAGCTGGGTCCCTTTGAATCATAATAGATTGGGGACTGAAGCCCTAGACTCGACGAGTTCCAAGAACAACTCGTCGAGTCGCCTATTATCCAAGTCTATAATCTCGATTTCTGGCATACAAGTCTCATCCAAAAGGCAGATTTGGGCTTCTAAGACCGATCTAACATGTAAAGTTATGAACTTTACGTGCATGCATGGAAGTATAAGCTTTAAGGACCCAAAATGAGGTCTAAAGGGGTGTGCATGGGCTAATATGGCCATAAAGCTTGCATCTTTATGCCATGAACTCGGTTCTAGAGTCTAGATCTGAAGGTGAATCGACTTGGGACGTCCAAGTCTTAAGGATCAAGCTTATTGACCCCAAAACTCCATAAAGGGGCAAAGGAAAAAATCTTTAAAACCGCAAGTCAAGTTTTGAGCTTGATTATCTAAAAGTGAAGAGAAAATGATGTTGCTCCTGGATCTAGTCCTTCTTCCTTGATCCTTCTTCCTTCCAACTCTTCAAAACTCCACATGTTGGATATTCACAACTTATTCCCCTATAAACTTGGTTGGATAGTAAAGGAATATAGTATATAAATGTTAATTTCGAGCCCGGTATAGATAATAATTTTTTTAGTTAAACTATTTTCTCTCCTTTATAAGCATCCACATCGTTGGTGGTGCTTGCAAGCCATTTTAAATGTCACGTAGTCATTAAATGTGATTATTTAATTAAAAAGTTAATATATAAGGAATGGTTGAAATTTTATTATATTGATTATAAAAGGTATAACTCATATTTCATGTAGAGCACCCATATGATTCATTAAAATACTAGGTATAAGATTCGTATATTATACGAGTTGATGAAAACAAATGTTAAATACGAAGGAATAAACAAAAAGTTTATTTATATTTGAAATTTGAAATAAGTTAAAATTATGAGAAAAAAAATTAAAAATAAACAAACATATAAAAATAAATAAATTAAAATTACATGATTAATTGTCAGACCCATGTACTAAACAGGTTAATTATAACAAAATGTTAAATATGAAGGTTTAAACTGTAATTTTTTAGAATTTGAAATTAAAAATTGAAAATTGAAATTTAACTTTAACATAGTTATATATTTAATTTATGGAAACTAAATTAATGATTTATTAAAAAAATAAAAAATAAAATAAATGACAAGTGACAAGTGAAAAATATATATCTCTAAATTACTATAAATTGACATTCAACAAATTGAAGGAAAGAATAATATGTGACAAAATTATTTTCATTTATTGGTAAGAATTAATATATAACAATTGCAAGACTTTCACAAACTGAAAGACCAAGTACAAGTGACGTTAACTTTTGGTGAGTGACATTAAAAAGAAACTTTGAAAGGACCGATGTAGAATGTCTAAGTAGTTTTTGCGTATTTATAGCCTATTGATTTGTTTGTCACCTCTAAAGTCAACGTTGTAAAATGTTTAGAAACATTATGAGAGGCTATAAATCTACAGTTAAAGCTAACAAATCAATTCACATCAAACAAAATATTGAATACAATAAGTCGTAAATATAACAAAAGAAAAAAACTCTTAACAATTAAGAAGCTTGAAAGACGATAATGATGGCTACCTATGATAGATCACTTACTCAATATTGAAGAAAATGAAGGTTATGGCGATACATGATCAAGGTAGATTATGAATGAAAATTCACCGATTGCTACAAGTAGGATGATGGTTGGGATTAATGGAAGAAAATTAACAAAATAGCGAGGGAGAAATTGAAATTGGCAATCGGGAGAAAAATTAGAAGAAACGTATATTTATTAGGTTTAAAATGACGTATTATCATTTTTATCTTAAGAAGTCAGAAAAAGAATCATTTCTTAAAAGCTCATAAGTATCTACACCGAAAAGTTTTTTAACATATGATTATTTGGAATCAATCACATTAAATTATTTTTATAGTTAGAAAAAATATATTTGGATCAAATATATCAACAACTTTTAACTAAATGTTTTTTTGTTTTTTTTTTTTTTGTTTTTTTTTTGAAATTGTGTTTTATACAATTAACACTCTTTATTAAATAATGTTACATTCAAAACTTATTTTTTTTTATTGATTAATTTGTTTCATTTTAATCCATGCTATTAAATACGAAATTTGTAAATCGTGATTTTAACTGTCATAACGTATTATTAAATCTTATGCGACAATATAAAATTGAAATATTGATTCCAGATTTAATACTACTTATTTCATGTTTATTGATTGTAAAGAAAAATTATTTTAAAAGAAAAACTATTTTAAAAGTCATTTTCAATCGATAAAAACTCTTTTAACTTAGGTTTTAGGATATACTTCTTAAGCCAAATGGTGTCGGTTTCTTCTAGCTCAACCAATATCACCACCACATTATAATGTTGAGTACTCCTCACATGCCAAAATCCCATAACAGAAAAAAGAAGAGAGAGGAAGAGAGACAACACACTCATAAAAGGGTGGTGCTGAAGACCATATAAGGCCACACTCGTGGCTCCAGTTTAGCACAATGTTACCCTCATGGTGGTGTGCATGCGGTTGCGAAACAAAGACAAAGTCTGAGGTGTAGCACACATAATTTTGGGGGCAGTACGTCGGGAAGTTTAAACTCGGGAAGTTAACACTACACCGAAAAACTTTGCAAAATTTTTACCTTATGCGTGAAAATTTAAAAGGGTAAGTGGGTAACACATGCCACCCTGAACCCTTGTTTCGCCAATATGAGCACGATTGTGCCTTCCAACACTCATCGCGACGTCCCATTGTGAAGGATATACCATTCAACCTTATAACGATGGTCAAAAAGCAATAAGTCATTATTTTAAATCACAATCCTTAAGACCATGTAAATATAAAGGTTTGATAAGCATTTTGTCTATGCTTGTTAGAATAATTCACGAGACAATTATACTTTCAGGGACTGTTTATGCAATATACCAAACTGTGACAACCCAATCTCCTTTTTTCATTATACCCCCACATATTTAGTTAATGCGACTTTGCACCCCAAACTTCTATAACCCCCCTTTAACGGGACTAGTTCTATAGAAAAAAACCTAAATCCCCATTGTTCTCTCCTCCAGATCTTCGGCCATGGCATCCGCAGGTAAATCCTTCCTTCAAAGCATAAGGCGCTACATCAAGAAGCCATGGGAAATCACTGGCCCATGTGCTGACCCAGAATACAAGTCCGCACTGCCTCTTGCCGCCGATTACCGGCCGTTTTGTCCGGCCACTGAACCGGCCAAGGCCATCGTCCCGACCTCCGATCCAGAAACCGTGTTCGACATCAAATACTTCTCTCGCGATCAGCGCCGTAACCGCCCGCCCATCCGCCGCACCGTTCTGAAGAAAGATGACATCGTTAAAGCGATGAAGGAGAAGTCGTTTGATGTCGCTGATTTCCCTCCGGTTTATTTGACAACTGCAGTTGAAGAAGACTACAATGCGTGTGGTGGAGGTTATTGCAAGTAATCAGGTCAGAATTAAATCTTAATTCCTAAATTGATTGAAATATCAAATATACTTGAGGTTTTGTTTTTCATTTGGGGTTCTGATTTGCCCTGAACATTGCTTGCTTAATTAGCTTGTTGATGAAATGAAAAGTGATGTATAGCTGAATTACTGCAAGTTACTATGTCTTCGTGCATTCTACAATCGTTTTTATCATTTCCTTAAAGTTAGGGTTTTTTCAATACACAAATACAGGTATACCGAAGAGCTAAGTAGATTGATGATGAATCATAAGTTTGTAGTCATTGTTCACCATTAGAAACACCCTTGAGCATAATTAGGGCCTGTATTTGATGCCTCAAACTGATTTCTTGATCTTGAATTAGTTAAAATCAGAAAAAAGATGATTACTGCAATTTCAAGTTTGCAATAATCAGTTATAATATAAATCCAAACACCCTATTGACACTGTTGGAGTTTGCTCTTGGATGCAAATGAATTGATGAAATGCAGTGAATTCAAATTTGTTAAAAGTTGTAACTCAATTATGTAATGTCTATATCTTCAAGCCTTATGTTACTTATTCGATCCATTACATCTCCATTTATTTCATCATATATTTTCAATGTTTTCTTAATTCACATAACACAATATTTTAATAATTTGTTATCACATACTTGAGTTGATTGTATTCTTTCATGTTGTCTTACCAGGTTTAATCTCTCGAAAGACTTGCCTGCAACAAAAATAAATTAAATGGTGTTGTTTCTTTTGGTCATTACTTTTCTTTTTCTTCCTTTTTATTTTTTCATGTCTACACACTTAAAATACCTCTTACTAATGCTTTATTGAAAGCATAATTGAAGTTCTTTGTGTTGTAATAACAAATAGGTTTCCCAAATAAGTTGTAGTAGGCCTTGTGGTGGTTTCTTTGGCCCTATTTGTTTTGTAGGAAAGGACAGGACAGGCCATGACAAAACAGATCTAACATTTGGTGTGCATTAGATTCAGACTGAGATTGGATATAAATTTTACTTTTTTGTCCCACTAAAAAAGACTCATTGTCAATCTCATTTGTGGAGAAGACGTGAATGTCTTTTTTATTTTTATCATAAAAACAATCTTAGAAGTTTGTTCAGTTCAGTCCTGTTCAATTCTGTTATTTGTAATAGATAGTGTTTGGATGTGATGTCTTGAAACTGATTATGTGGTATTAGATAATTAAAAAGGGATAATCGGTTGTGGTGAAACGAGTTGTAGGAGATAAGGTTCGCTTTTGTTATATGAAGTTGTGTTAATAAGATAGCAAAACTCTTGGAATGTATTGAGTTATGATCATTTAAGACACTACAAGAATAACGAAATATGACTTTTTTTTTTTGTTGAAAAAGTGGTATTATGAAAATGAGAATAAAATATTAAAAAGTTGTAAATAAAATAACTGTATTTTACGTTTTGATAACCAATTTTATTGCAAAGGTTATAAAAATGGTTATTTCTCTTAAATAATAAAAAACTAAATCTTAACAATATATGAAAAGTTGTTATTGTTTTCACAGATTGCAATTATTAAATAATCAGTTATCCAAATATCAATAAATAAATAAATAAAATCGATATTTTTGAACCCCATAAATGGATAAACAATGGGCTTATGCAATTATATTTTGTTTAACTCAGTTTATGGGCCAATAGGGCAAATGAAAGTTGAATCCAGTTAAGAAATTGTTTGGGAGTGTTTTAAAAACAACTTTTTTGACTTTTCATTTTTAGAAAAGTTAAAAAATTGCAAAAGATGTTTTTTTAAGTTAAAAAGTTTTTTTTAAACAACATTTGAGCAAGAAGAAAAAAAGACTGATTTTAAAAGTTACAAAAACGTGATTTTTGAGACTTTTTTACTTCTTAAAAGCAATTTTATCTTTTTACCATCCAAATATATTTTAAACCATAACTTTTAGAAAAATATCTTTTACAAAAAGTCCTTTTATAAAAATGACTTTTGAGCTGAAAAAATTATCTCAAACACCCCTTAAGTTATGGTTAAGAATGAACCGAACATAAACAAACAAGCTTACGCAAAAAATTCTAACTTACGGATAGATAAATTAATAATTTTTATTGTTCTTGTTCATTCATTTTGTAAATTATATATTTTGTGTTAATTCGTTTATGTTTATTCTAAACGAACTTAAGAAAAATAAATGAACATAAAATAAACCAATATAAAAACTTAAAAAGCCAAAACCATATCCTTTAACGCCACCAACTTAGCGTTTTCAAAACCAAATTTCATAAATATTGATGGGCTGCGAGAGATTAAACTCAAATCTGTTGCAACCCAAACAAAAATAGGCTAACCAAACCTAAAGAAATCGACACATTGGAATATCCACCAACCAAAACCAAATGCAACCCATAGATCGACCTTATGAATCCAACACCCCTCTATGTGTCCCCAAAATTCCACCTTAGTATTTAGAACCCATTTTGCTCAATTATAAGACACAATAGTTCCATATATCTCAAAATTTAGGCAACAAAGTTTTCTTATCTATAATAAAATTGTATTGACTACATGATATAACTTTAGGATAAGAACTTTGAAGAGAAGATATAAAAGAAAAAAAAAACTTTGTGAATTATATTTTCTGATTAAGAAATATCATTTTATGCATGAAATATGCACAAGTGAGGTTTTTAATATTTTGACGATTTACCGTATAGTATAGAAGTTTCCCACATAGTATCCATTATTTCTTGTATTGGCTTTTGACGAACACGATGAGTTGTGACGAGTTGGGAACCGGTGGGCAGCAGTCCCATAGTATCCCCTTCGTACTTATTAAGTTGATTTACCATATATGAATATGAAAGATATATTTGATAAGTAACTTATAACTTATTGAAGCATTAATAAATTATTAAGTAAGTTTTTCTTTTCTTAAAACAAAGCATACACAATAATCGATACAAATATATCAACTTATTTGGAATCCTAAAATCGATTATTGTAATTTAAATAATAGAAAGAAAAATAAAATAATAATTTAAAGAATCTTAGACTGATAACCATTGTTATACTGTTGAGTGCATTTGAAACCATAGTTTTGTTATTAGAAACTGGAAACCAAATTGCATAGTGCAGTTTAACAAAATTGCAAAGTGTAGTTTAAAGAATCTTAGACTGATAACCATTCTAAAGGCTTGCATCTTATGTCAGCATAACTCTTTTGATGATCACGTGCATCCTTTAATCGATCCTTAATTTGCACGATCATTTCAGTTATCTCGTGGATTATTTCTGGTCCATTACGTAGGGTATCGCCTGTACTTTCTCTGGCCATTTGCGTATCTCCAACTTCTGCCCAACATATTGGGGAACGACATTTTCGTCCATAAAGAGCCTCAAACGGTGACTATTGCTGTAGGAAAACTCAATTAACGGTAAATAAGTAGCCCATACATTTCCAAAGTCTATTACACAGGCTCGGAGCATGTCTTCTAAAGTTTGAATAGTTCTCTCACTTCGACTATCAGTCTGTGGATGGTAAGTTATACTCATGTCTAAACGTGTTCCTAAGGATTTTTGTAGAAATTGCCAAAATTAGGAAGTGAATCTACTATCTCGGTCAGAAATATTAGAACTTGGAACTCCATGCAATTTAACAATTTCCTTAAGATAAACTCTAGTCAGCTTCTCCATCTTGTCATTCTCTTTAATTGGTAAGAAATGGGTGAACTTAGTCAATCTATCGACTATTACCTAAATAGTGTCGAACTCACTAGGAGTTTTGGATAACTTATTGATGAGGTCCATTAATATCTGCTCCCATTTCCATTCAGGTATTTCCGGTTGTTGGAGTAAACCTTAAGGCTTTTGATGTTTTGCCTTTACTCTAGAACAAGTCAAGCGTTTGCTCACATAAGTAGCAATTTCATCCTTCATGTTTAGCCACCAATAATGTACTTTTAAATCTAAGTACATTTTGTCAAAGCCTGGATGCACGGAATATCTGGACTTGTGGGTCTCTTCTAAGACCAAGTCCCTGACTCCATCGAACTTAGGCGTCCAAAGTCGGTTCATAAAGTGTCGCATTTCGTCATCTTTTTGTATAAGTTGCTTTTCCATTCCTCGCAAAGCTTCATTCTTGATGTTTTCTTCTTTTAGATTCTCAAGTTGAGCTTCTCTAATTTGTGCGACAAAGTTAGAATGAATAGTTATGGTTATGCTCGTACTCGATGGGGTTTAATATATTCTTTTCGGCTCAAGCATCTGCTACCACGTTTGCTTTTCGGGATGATAACGAATCTCAGATTCATAATCATTCAACAATTCGACCCATATTCGTTGTCTCATATTAAGGTCTTTTTGGTCGAAGATGTGCTGGAGACTCTTGTGGTCGGTAAAAATAGTACATTTAGTACCGTATAAGTAATGTCTCCAGATTTTTAGTGCAAAAACTACGGCTCCCAATTCAAAAACATGGGTAGTGTGATTATTCTCATGCACCTTAAGTTGTCGTGATACGTAGGCAATAACTTTTCCTCTTTGAATCAACACACATCCCAATCCTTGATTTGATGCGTTGTAGTATACGATGAAATCTTCTGTCCCCTCTGGAAGGGATAGGATGGGTGCACTACACAACATTTGCTTCATTTTCTGAAAACCAGCTTGTTGTTTGTCTTCCTAGTTGAGCTTTGTATCCTTCTGGGTTAGTATTGTAAGCGGCTTGGCTATTTTGGAGAAATTCTCTATGAATCTGCGTTAGTAGCCAGCAAGTCCTAGGAATTGATGCACTTTTGTTGGCGTCTTGGGTGCCTCCCAATTCCTGATTGCTTCAACTTTGGATGGGTTAACATGAATTCCTCCGTTGCTAACTACATGACCTAAAACTTATACTTCTCTAATCCAAAACTCACATTTGGAGAATTTGGTGTACAACTTTTCTTTTCTTAGTAGTTCCAAGATTGTTTACAAGTGTTAACCATGTTCTTCATTGGTTTGTGAATATATCAATATATCATCGATAAATACGATCACGAATTTATCCAAGTATGGTTTGCAAACACGATTCATGAGATCTATAAACACTACTGGGACATTAGTTAATCCAAAAGACATAAATTAGAAGTCATAATGACCATAACGGGTTCTAAATGTTGTTTTTGGAATGTCGTCTTCTTGTACTCTGAGTTGATGGTTTCCTGATCTAAGATCTGTCTTTGAGTAGTAACTAGATCCTTGCAGTTGATCGAATAGATCATCAATCCTTGGAAGCGGATAACGATTCTTGATCGTTAGCTTCTTCAGCTCCTGATAATCAATACACATTCGAAAGGATCCGCCCTTCTTCTTGACAAACAAGATTGGTGCTCCCCAAGGTGAAAAACTTGGCCTAATAAAGCCTTTGTCAAGAAGTTCTTGTAGTTGGCTGAATAATTCTTGCATTTTGGATGGAGCCAACCGATAAGGAGATTTCTCTACTGGTGCTGCTCCTGGAATTAAGTCGATTTGAAACTCGACTTGTTGGATGGGCGGTATTCCAGGTAGATCTTCAGGAAACACGTCAGGGAAATCACATACTTGAGGTATGTCCTTAATTTCTTTTGTCTTTCTCTTCTTATCTACAATGTGGGTTAAGAATGCGCTACATTTCTTATGTAGATATTTATAGATCTTAGTACAGGAGATTACTTTGAGGTTCTTCTTAGATTTATCACCATAGATAATCAGGGCTTCGCCGTTTGGTAAGGGTAGTCGTATGGCTTTCTCATAACATATAATTTCGGCGTGGTGTGAAGATGACCAATCCATGCCAATTATGACATCAAAACTACCGATAGGCATTGATATGAGGTTGACGTGAAATAGTTAGTTATTAAGAGTCATCAGACAATTTTCGAGGATTTCATGTGTTTTCTCGGTTTGACCATTAGCAATTTCTACTTCATAAATTTCTTTTAATTTGCTAGACTCGTGACTTAACAATTTTCTAAATGTCGGAGTAATAAAACTTTTATCTGCTCTAGAGTCGAAGTGTATTGTAGCATATAAATTATCTATACGAAACGTACCAGATATAACCGAAGGGTCCTGTATAGCTTCTCTACTTCCGATCACGAATGCCCTGCCACGTCCTATGCCTCCTTGACTCCTTAACTTTGGACATTCTCTCTTGATATGTCCAAACTCTCCACACTCATAACACTTTCTTCATTCACCACGGTCTGTTTCAGTATTTGTTTGCTGATTGACTGTT